TAGGATGGTGTCCCCCTACCTCGTATTCTTCCATCATCTTGCGAATGCCAGCTCCCTTCTGCCGAATGATGTAGCGGTGCAGATCAAAGGGAACGTCAACATCCATGGTGATGGGTACCAGAGCCTAGAAAGAGAGGAACAGAGCAGATTCAAAAGCTTAACGGCAGAGCAGTTCGTACTTCTGTGTCTTGGTAATACAGGTAGTCCTCGACTTACGAACACAACCGAGCCCAAAATTTCTGTTGCTAAACGAGACCTTTGCTGAGTGGGTTGCGCCCCATTTTCTGACCTTTCTTGCCACCGTTTTTAAGTGAATCGCTGCAGCTGTTAAGTTAGAAACGGAGGCTGTTAAGTGAAATCTGGCTTCCCCCATTGACTTCGCTTGTCAGAAGGTCACCAAAGGTGATCACATGACCCCAGGACCCTGCAACCGTCGTAAGTATGAATCAGTTGCCAAGCGTCTGAATTTCGATCACCAGACCATGAGGATGCTGCAACGGTCGTGAGTGTGAAAAAACGGTCCTAAGTCACTTTTTTCAGGGCCATTGTAACCTCTGTGGGAGATAAAAATATAGCCCCATCCTCATATAACAAGATGAGGCTAGAACAAACCTGAAATAGGCCCCCACAGTAGTGATTTGAAGCTCTAACTTGAACTTTATGCTGTTTCACAATACGAAGGTACTATTTGTAATCTGCTGAGCTTTGTGCAATATGAAATTGCAAAGTAGATAGTAGTTCTATGTCAGGGGTGTCAAACTCAATTTCATTGAGGGCCGCATCAGCGTTGCGGTTGCCCTCGGGGTGTGTGTGTGGCCAGGGTGAGTGCGGCCTACTGGGTGGACAGGGAGTGGGTGTGGCCTACTGGGTGGGCGTGGCCAGCTCTACATCGTTCGCGTCAAGGGCGCCTGTGGGGGCCTGGGCAGGAGTGGGACAGATCTGAGGGTCTCTGGCAGAAGGGGGTGGGACCAGGGCAAGTGCCAAGGCATGGTCCACTGGAGGAGCCTCACTGTTCCTCTCAGACCATGTGGGGGGGGGACTGGATGGTGGCGCGGGCTGCCCGGAGCCCTGGGCAGCAGAGGTCAAACGCCCAGCCTGGCCCTCAAGCACCTGCGGCACCAAGCCGTTTCCAGACAGCCTTGTGGAGCTAAGACTGAATGCGTTTCAGCATAGATGGCCACCACAAAATTGTACATTGGCTCCCTTCCGGCCGGCCTGGGCCAGGGCCAAGGCAGTGGGGGCCGTTCCCTCACTGTTTCCAGGATGGCTTCGCGGGCCACATGAAACCACTTCGTGGGCCGCATCTGGCCCGCGGGCCTTGTGTTTGACATGTCTGTTCTATGTATATTTGGAACATGAGTATTGTAACCGTGGGAGAAATAGGGAACTGAAAAGTAGCTGATGGATGCGGGTTCCAATGTACACGGGTATATGTGGAAAGTAGGTCAGCAGGAAGTCAGTAAAAAGTCAGCAAAGGTCAGCAGAAGTCAGCAAAAGTCAGCGGACCATCGGACTACAGTCTTAGAATGAGAAAGGGTATAAAAGGTTGGGACTGGACCTAATTGATTTGCCACTGGCCTCTAGCTGTCCTATTGGATTCTGCTATGTCATATGGTCCTCATTGCAAAGGGTTATTAATGGAAGCGATGTTGTGTTATTATGCTTGCTACGTTCCAAATTATTAGAGAAATAAACCTCTGAATCTTAAAGTAAGAATTATTATGTTGTGTGGCTGCCTCTTGTCTGTTTCGTTGGGTTTTTCCACGATACCTCGAACAGTCACTAAATGAACTGTTGTAAGTTGAGGACTACATAGAGTAGATGGACAGAGAAGAAACTGAGTGCAGTTGTTAACTTCAAATGGTCACTAAACAAGTGGTTGTAAGTCAAGGACTACCTTAATGGTGAAGTAATTCTCTTGTTCGGCACTTGTAACAGGTAACTAGCAGAAAGTCCAGCTTGGTCTAGGCCAGGGGTGGGGAACATTGGCTCTTTTATGACTTGTGGACTTCAACTCCCAGAATTCCTGAGCCAGCCATGCTGAGGGGAAAGGGAGAGGTTTCCAAGCAGAGCCATGCTGGCTCAGGAATTCTGGGAGTTGAAGTCCACGAGTCAGAAAGTGGCCTAGGTCTAATCCAGGGGTAGGCAACCTTGGCTCTTTTATGACTCGTGGACTTCAACTCCCAGAATTCCTGAGCCAGACACGCTGAGGGGAAAGGGAGAGGTTTCCAAGCTGAGCCATGCTGGCTCAGGAATTCTGGGAGTTGAAGTCCACGAGTCAGAAAGTGGCCTAGGCCTAATCCAGGAGTAGGCAACCTTGGCTCTTTTATGACTCGTGGACTTCAACTCCCAGAATTCCTGAGCCAGCCATGCTGAGGGGAAAGGGAGAGGTTTCCAAGCTGAGCCATGCTGGCTCAGGAATTCTGGGAGTTGAAGTCCACGAGTCATGAAGGGGCCGAAGTTTCCCCATGCTGGCTCAGGAATTCTGGGAGTTGAAGTCCACGAGTCATAAAAGAGCCAAGGTTCCCCACCCCTGGTCTAGGCTAACCAGCAGAACACAGAAGCTAAAACCAAGAAAATACTAGCCAGACTCCCGTTAAAAACAGGTTAGAAAACCAATGAGGTCACATGTACAGGTGGGTAGGACTTAAAACGGCTAAAGAACATTAGCTCTTCCCTAGCCCAATAAGAAGACAGGATCCTAACCAGCAAAGCTGATCGGGCAGCCTCACACTTCTCCTTGCGCCCGGAAATGAGGATGATGTCACATTTGCGAGGACCCGTGTCCAGTTCGGGCGTCACATCGCCGTTTTCCTGAGACTGTGCTTCTGAACCTGCTTGTGAGGGAGAGAGAGAGAAAAAAAAGAATAAAAGAGAAGTCCCAAAGGTGGTTTTTTTCAGGAGGCAACTGGACTTTGGGACAACTACCACCTGGATGACTGAGAATCACCATAGGCATTTAGCGATGCACCTTTGAATGGTGCGGGAGCATGAATGGATTTCCAGAAAACATTGCAGACTACAGGAACCATTTGCGCTTCAGTCTGAGATGCAGACAACACAGACTCATCCCCAACAGCCTGCGCCTGTCCTCAACCGTGAAGGGACCCAGGGCAAAAAATATCCTCCAGCCAAGAAGACTCCACACCCATTTGCACTCCTCAGGTGACTCTGAGGACACAGGTAAACCTCCAAGTGGCCTCAATGACTCTCTAAAACAGGGGTCCCCAACCCCCAATCTGTGGACCAATACCGGGCCACAGCCTGCCAGCAACCGAGCCGCACAAACAAGCGAAGCCCCATCCGTGGGATGCAGGCAGCGCACAAAACGACACCCCCTCCGGTCCGCGGAAAAACATCTCTCCACGTTACCGGTCCCTGGTCCCAAAAGGTTGGGGACCTCTGCTTTAAAAGAATGCAAATGACCAGCTCTCTGCAAGGAGTATAAATCCTTCCATTCCCCGCCATCCAGTCAGAGCCGAAGAAGCTTCTTGGATGAGAAGCGAAAGGTCTTCAAAGAAAAACAAGAAAGTCCAGTTGCCTCCTGAAAAAAGCATCTTTGGGACAACCAGGACCTGGATGAAGGAGAATCTCCATAGACCAGGAGTGTCAAACTCAATTTCCTTGAGGGCGGCATCAGCATTGCGGTTGCCCTCGGGGGGGGGGGGGTGGGGCGGGGGGGT